CATAGGGATTATTGATGACCCCAGTAATAGTATCTTCACATACAGTCAGTCTGGTAGCTGGAATGCTTTTTATAAACCAGACTACACTCCATTGTTTGAATCAAAGTTCAACAACCCAAAACTAGAAGAAGAAGCAATAAATGTTAGCTTATAACTTCATTTTTGTTGTCTTTGCCAGCATCTAGCTTGCATGGGCTGGGACTATGCAGTTAAGAGTAGTGTCTGTCTGAAGATTTTTTTACTGAACTGCTACTTCGAGGTTTTGTAATTTTATTATTTATTGTTCTGATGTAGTTGTGTGGTGATGATAAGTTGTGTTTGTTTGATGTTGCTGCTACTGGTGACTTAAGTATTGGAGAGGCTACAAAAGAAATAGAAGAAGACCTACAAATTTTAGAAGAAATACTTCAACCAAGTAAAAATATTTAATGTAAATAAAGTTTAGTTTCTTCGAACCTTTTAAAGCTGTTTGTGATCCTCAATGTGTGAATGGAGCATGTATTGGTAACAATAGTTGCTTCTGTTCTGAAGGATATCAAGGAATAGCTTGTAATCAACCAGGTAGTAGATCTAATAGAATAATTACAATGCATATATTACTTGACTTGTGGACATATTGAGATTATTGACATTAATGTTATTTCTAGTACTTAATGAATGTGAAGAGAACATTTGTGTGAATGGAGGCACTTGTAGTTTGATTGCTGGAGACACTGTATGCAGTTGCTTAGATCGATATACAGGAATTAATTGTGGTATAACTTATAGTGAATAAATCATTGTGTGTTTTTACTTTTTAATTGTAGAGGATTTAATTTCAAGCCCAACATCTTCTCCTTCTCTGACACCATCATCAGTCTCATTGTCTGTGCTTCTTGTGATAGTTTTTGTTGCTTTGACTGTTATTATTGGAGTGATTGTTCTTATACTGGTGGCAATATTCTGCATACAAAAAAAAATGAAAAGAGATCTGAAGAATCCTTCTCATTCAATGGACAAAAAAAATGAAAATTAATTGCTGATAGAATAATAATTATTTTGCTACAAAATGATTGTCATGTCTTGTATGTAGTTTAGTATGTAGTATGTAGTTTAGTTTATATTTTGCAACATTTGCAAAATTTTAGTTATAAAATTTTAGGCTAGTAAAAAAATATTGAAAAAATATTTAACTGACCTGCCTATGGTGTTGGAAATTTCTCATGAACTGAGAAATGAAACTGTGCTTCTGAACCAGTGAACTTAGTTTCTCAGACTAATACTAATTGGAAAGTATTTTTTATAACAAAGTAAAACAAGGTTCATTAAAACTAGAAGTGGCACTTGCTCCAATTGAGTCATAATTTTTCAAACAATTAAGACAATGATTGAAAAAGGTATTTCAGTAAGGATTAAAACTTTGTTCAAAGTTAAAGTACAGGGGCCTTGGCCAAATTTTTCTTAAAATGGCTGAAATAAAATCCTTGATTTAAAATTTTTTTCTGATACGCATACATAATGATTCTCATCTTGTGTAGAAACTTTAGGCTAATTCTGGTCAAATTGAAATTTTTGAATTTGCTCAAATATTCAACATAAGTCCATGTACTACAGTACCGGAACTTGGCCAAATTTTGCTACAAATGGCTCAGAAAATTTTTTCGATATTAATAATGTTTTAAATACACTTATGTACATGTTCTCATGTTGTGTAAAAGCTTTGGAAGATTTTGGTAAAATTTGAATTTTATAATAAATTTTTATAGTGGCTTCAAAATTTGTCAATAGTCCTATAGGTAGTCTACTTTGGCCAAATTTCACTAAAACTGGCATGGAAAAAATTTTTCATTTAATAATTATTTTCTGATAATCATTTAGCTGGTATGTGATAAGGACTCTTTGAAGTCAGAATTAGCTAAAACTTTCTACATAGCATAAGGACATCAATATGTATCAGAAAATGTCATAAAAATTTGGGGTAATTTCGGAGCAATTTTTTGGGAAAAAGCATGGGCTATAGTACAGGGTACTTTTTAAATTTTTGCCATTTTTAAAATGGCTATAACTTGAAAAATTGAAGTTGGAATCGGCTCAAACCTTCTACATAGCATAAGGACATCAATATCTACTAAAGTCTATTCACTTTCACCTGACCCCTGGCTTTTTTCAATTAATAAATAACTATGTCACATCCGCATTCTTTACGTATTTGCGGTTTTGGAATTGTTTTTGTTGCGTGGAAGTGATGCAGATAAGTAGCAGCTGAATTTAATCTGGCTGTTCTAGCTGCATAATTGTGGTCAAAGGTATGTCATTGAGTTTATACAGGGACATCCAAAAAAGGCTAAGGCCTTATCATTTTGACCCGATCTTTTTATCTAAAGGACGGGAAGGACCTAGCAATTCTAATGGTGCAAACAAAATTTCTAAATTACAAGTTTATCAAAAGTTATAACAAAAAATCAATAGGTCAGGTGAAACTGAATAGACTTTAGAAAATGTAATAAAAATTTGGGGTGATTTCGGAGGCATTTTTTGGGAAAAAGCATGGGCATAGACAGGGTATTTCTCAAATTTTTGCCATTTTAAAAAATGGCTATAACTCGAAAAATTGAAGTCGGAATTGGCTCAAACTTTCTACTTAGCATAAGGACATCAATATCTATCAGAAAATGTAATAAAAATTTGGGATGATTTTTTAGCCATTTTTTTGCAAAAAAGCATGGGCTATTATAGTATAAGGTAATTTTCAGATTTTGGCTAATTTTTAAAAATGGCCATAACTCGAAAAATTGAAGTCGGAATCAACTCAAACTTTCTACACATCATAAGGACATCAATATATATCAGAAAATGTAATAAAAATTTGGGGTGATTTTTTTAGCCATTTTTCGGAAAAAAAGCATGGGCTATAGTACAGGGTAATTTTCAGATTTTTGCCAATTTTAAAAATGGTTATAACTTGAAAAATTGAAGTTGGAATCAGCTCAAACTTTCTACTTAGCATAAGGACATCAATATCTATCAGAAAATGTAATAAAAATTTGGGATGATTTTTTAGCCATTTTTTGCAAAAAAAGCATGGGCTATAGTACAGGGTAATTTTCAGATTTTGGCTAATTTTTAAAAATGGCCATAACTCGAAAAATTGAAGTTGAAATCAGCTCAAACTTTCTACACATCATAAGGACATCAATATATATCAGAAAATGTAATAAAAATTTGGGGTGATTTTTTAGTCATTTTTCGGAAAAAAAAGCATGGGCTATAGTACAGGGTAATTTTCAGATTTATGCCAATTTTAAAAATGGCTATAACTTGAAAAATTGAAGTCAGAATCGGCTCAAATTTTCTACTTAGCATAAGGACATCAATATCTATCAGAAAATGTAATAAAAATTGGGGTGATTTTGGAGCCTATTTTTGGGAAAAAGCATGGGCTATAGACAGGATATTTTTTGAAATTTTGGCCATTTTAAAATATGGCTATAACTTGAAAAATTGAAGTCGGAATCGGCTTAAACTTTCTACATAGCATAAGGACATCAATATCTACCAAAAAATGTAATAAAAATTTGGGGTGATTTCAGAGGCATTTTTTGGGAAAAAGCATGGGCTATAGACAGGATATTTTTTCAAATTTTGGCTAATTTTTAAAAATGGCCATAACTTGAAAAATTGAAGTCGGAATCAGCTCAAACTTTCTATATAGCATAAGGACATCAATATGTATCAGAAAATATAACAAAAATTTGGGGTGATTTTGGAGGCATTTTTTGAGAAGAAGCATGGGCTATAGACAGGATATTTTTTGAAATTTTGGTCATTTTTAAATATGGCTATAACTTGAAAAATTGAAGTCGGAATCGGCTTAAACTTTCTACATAGCATAAGAACATCAATATCTACCAAAAAATGTAATAAAAATTTGGGGTGATTTCAGAGGCATTTTTTGGGAAAAAGCTGGGCTATAGACAGGATATTTTTTCAAATTTTGGCTATTTTTAAATATGGCTATAACTTGAAAAATTGAAGTTGGAATCAGCTCAAACTTTCTACACGATAGCTTAAGGACATCAATGTCTACCAGAAAATGTAATAAAAATTTGGGATGATTTCGGAAGCATTTTTTGGGAAAAAGCATGGGCTATAGACAGGGTATTTTTCAAATTTTGGCCATTTTTAAAAATGGCCATAACTTGAAAAATTGAAGCATAAAGATGTGAATAAAGTCAATAAACACAAAAAATATTTGCTATATTACCATGGTAAAGTAGGTATGTAAACCATCACTCTTAATCCAGTTGATTTCTCTCATAGCAGTGATGACTTTATGCAGTGTACATGTATATACATGTTTGCTACATGAGAAAGGGAATAAAATAATAAAATAAAATAACACAAACCGTAAGAAGTACAGTAAGTATTAAGTTTTTCTTTCCCTCTTGCATTTTTATTCAATCTCCGCACACAGTATGGTATACTGGTATGTGTAAATGGAAATAATAATGAGTTGAAGTTTTACATGAGTTTTACTCTTGTGTTTGGTTGATGCCAAGAAATCATGAATCCTTTACACTATTATACTGAGAAGATGAAAAATAGTAAGGATTAAAATTAAATTGCTTTTTTGATGCTTACCAGTATATAGCTTTTACTTGAGCAAGTCTAAGAAACAAGAAAGATAAAGACAAGAAAGCACAAAACGTACATGTACATGCACATCTTAATGCACACAATTAATGATTTTACCTGTCCCTAATCAAAACTCACTGCCAGTCCCTGGGAAAGTGCTGAGAGATGTCTCTGAGGTCTTTATTTCCCTGGAGGTAAGCCCTATACCTGTCTCTTGGTGCCAAGTTGGTGGTACAGGCTCCTATTCTATCTGGTTTCTGCATTACTTGTCTCTGCTGATTATTATAAAATCCAGGAACATCCCAACACACCCAAACATTACAAATTAATCAAATTTTCAAGCATTTTGAACAAAACAAGCATTAAAATATACATGCATTAAACATCAATATCAATATTAAAATCAAATCCCAGTTCATTCCTAAGAGCTTCAATCCAGTCCTCACCTAAAGTTTCAGCTGCATCAGCATAACTGCCTCTTACAGCAATGAATGAATTCAAAAACTTTTGACAGTGCTCCTCTACTTTAGGCAACGTTCTCTTAAAACTAAGACTAGCCTTAAACTCATCAATGCACTCTTGCATCAA